TTTTTGACACTGAGATCCATAAAGCTGCGATTTTGTTAACACTATAGTTTAATATTCAATATTACTTTTTTCCCCATTTCTTCTTAGAATCATTATACCAGAGGAGTAATTGCTAGGTTAGCGGATGAAAAAAAAAGCTTGTTTTTTTAGTTCTTTTTTGTCACGAGACTTTAAGCTGAATTAATTCAATTTAGTGATGTATGGTTATGTAACAAATAAAATTTTTTTATTCATAAATACGCTGTAAACATTGGAGGAAAGTAATCGATGCAAAAAAAATTAGAATAAAATGAAAGAAATAATAAACCACAGGAAAAACTGACCATTTAACGTAGCAAATGATTTTGTATTTCACGTATTTCTTCAATTTTTTCAATATTTTTGCTTACAGTTGTATCCTCATCTTAAGATCATTTCTAGTAACTTTACCGCATACACTTTGCAAAGTTAGAGATTGAATAGATTCTTACACCCAATTCTTATCATTTTTCTCTGTATATGTAGAAATAAAACTCTTGGTGAAGAGATTTAAAAAAATTACTCTTTTTATTATTTTGTGGCAGTAGTTGTGAAGAAATAGACTAACGACAAGAAGTTGTTCGTATAGTTTGCATTAAGAATAAGTCACCTAACATGTAATGAAGACCAAATAAACCGTCTGACATAGTTGAGCATCTTAGTTAGGTCTTTTGACGCCAGTGTTAACTGTTTATGGAATAATTTTTATGGAGAAAACTTTTCTTAAGTTCAGAGTTAAAAATATCCTGAATTCTTTGGATTACAATGTCAGCAAACATCACTGTAAAATTTAGAACATTGACGTTTAGAGAATTGAATAAATTTATTTTCAGCACAAGCAAAAAATGGCTTGCTTTATAAATAGCTGGTCGCTGTGAAGAATCTTTCAGGAATCAAGCTACTGTTTCTTGCAGGGTAAATAGAACTTTATAGAATACAATAATTATTTTTAGATTAATTATTCATTTAAATACCAGTTAAGGTATATTACCGTTCAATTCACTGTTCACAGCTGACAATGAAAAAACATTTTTTTTGATATGAAGGACAACAGCTAGTCCTCTCGAAGTTACTCGATTCCTAAGTCCAGTCAGCGATTCTACTAATTAAGAAAATGCTTGAAGTTTTGAGCAGTACTGTATAACCTGAGAAATAGTTTTGGAAAACCTTATTTTGGCTTTCATATATATCCCGAGAAACAGTTATGATTTAAGATTAATATTGAATACAGTAGTCAGTTAGTGCAAGACATTATTAAATGTCATTTAATACACATTAATAAGGTACTTTTCAGACTTTGAAAGAAAAAATCTTAGATGATTCTGTTTAGTAAAATTTATTTTCAAACAGTCGAAATTGTACTCTTACGCTTAATGTTGTTTTTTTCAATGTATAATACAGCTTTTCTTTAACAGCGCTCCGTTTTCAGCAACAACTACACAAAGTCAGGATTCAAATTTCCACTTATTTTCTCAGAAGTATTATGGATCAAATTCGAACGATATTTTTTATGACCCTCAAAATCATCAAGGCAAGGCCACAGAATCAAAGTAAAATTTGAAAAACTGATAGTATTAACAGCTCATAACAGTTTATGAAACGTTGTGTGGTTGCGAAGTTGTTCATTTTACTGAAAAATCAACCAGTCTGTTCAGTAATTTTTTTCAAAATTCTAAAGGACATATTCATTTGTTCTCAAATTGGTACGCATAATTCATATTTTAGGCCATTTCTACAGCAGTTCATCAGATTCTACCAGTCGGTCTTGCAAGATAACGTGATAGTGTATGGTAAGGGTCAAAAACTGCAGGCAGACTACAGAACATCGTTTGAAACTTCGATTCACTTAGGGTTGTCGTTGTTTGGATCGTTACTCTTCGAACAGGTATCGCTGACAACTGCGAAAGGCTACAAGCGATAAAGCGCTGAACCACGATAGACTGCTGCAGCAATTATAGGGCTGTAACAAGTTTGGTAACTGATAGATTTGTGTGACTGTGTGACGTCTGCAGAGTTGTTGCAGACGACAACGTTTACAGGTTGAATGGTGTTTCTAGAACTACGACAGAAGGCCGTTCGGAAAAAAAGGCTGCATTTTATAATGTAAACGTTTATGCAAGTGTAAAATCATATATAGATACTTTTGTTCGATTCGGAATCCTTTTGTAATCAGCCTAATCATTTACAAGCAACTTTATTACTCTTTGAATTCCACTAAAAGGAATTGTTAATGAGGCGCTTCTTTTCTTCTCGTTTCACTTTCGTTCTTCGTCATAGTTTTTTTCCAAAACTTTACTGCTGTTGGAAAAAGTATAAAAGTGTTGATTTACAGCAATATTAATAGATGGTCATTTACATGTAACATATAAAGAAGTTTACGGATTAAAAATAAATAATTCAAAAGTGGAAAATGTTAAAGAGTTACATTGGGAATGAGTAGCTGATGGTTATTAGGAAAGTAATTAAATTATGTTAGGGTTTTTTTTTGCACAGAAGTATGCACTGTAAAGTTGGGTTCATCGGTAGACGATTGCGCAGTTTCATGTCTGCAGTCGTTTAGAACTAGAGCAGTTTGAGAATTGTTCGGCGTTCGATTGTCATAACGGATCTTATATCCGTCGCTCATCTGATCTATTCTGGTTGCAGAGTTTTCTCTGTCAAAGGATTCTTTATCGGGAAACCGTAAGCGGTAGTTACAGTTGATTCGTTTTTTGGATGCAACGTTGGAGGATGAGGCTGTTTGTCTCAGGCATTTGGTAATGAATTGGAGGTGAAGAGTTATCAACGGTAGAACGTAGAGCAACTGTAGATTGGTTGGCATCTGTCAATCACCTGATACTGTTATTAACTGCCATCATATCAGCTTTTTTTTTTCTTTTTGTTTATTTGGCTATTTGACAATCTTTTTTGTCGCTAATCATTGTTTTAATTTTACAGTAAAAAGTGGAAAAGGAAAGGTGAAATTAGTTTCCTACATTTGTTGTACTTTTTTTTACTTCATCTTTTTTTGTTAAGTTCAAAAATTTAACAGGAGTATTTGTTGATATTTATATCAACGGGAAGTAAAGAGACATGAATCTTTTTAAACAAAAAGAGTGTGTATATATAATGTTTGTGTTCTTTTCCTTCCCTTTTTCTTTTTTCTGCTTAAATATGAAAAGTTAGAAGTATAGTAATCGGCTTCCATTTTATATACAAGTAGAAAGTCACAATTTTTTTTCTTTTTTTTCTTTTCCAACCCATGTAGAAATTTATTTATTGTTTTTATTTTGGAAAAAGGATCTGTATTTGTCAACAAACTGGAAAAGCTACCTGAATGAGAAGTATTGTTGTTGATTACACATTGAATTACCGGATAATTGTTTGAAGTGTAGTTAAAACTGTTGATGTAAATGGCAGACGATTATCGGAATATAGACATTTGTTAATAACAGTTGTCTGCGCTGTCGCCGGTATCATCCGAAATTGTCCGCTGCGGACAGACGTTTGACAGCAGCTAAAACT